CTTCTCTCTCTCTCTCTCTCTCTCTCTCTCTCCATTTGTAAACTATACTGAAAATGCTTAAAAAGATGAGTAGGAAGCATAAAAGGAAGGCCAAGTTTCAGCACTTCAGTGCTGCTTAACATAGACTTACAAAAGCAAACTATGGAAATGGTAGCCTCCAATATTCACAAACCTGATATTGTGATGGAGGCCTCTATTACAAGTCTGATTTTTACTTTTTATCTCAATGTGTGCTGTTATATGAGCTCAAATCCATGGCTGATCTCATTGAAGCAAACTTTGCCATTTCATGCTGAGAAAAAGGGCCACCATTATCACCAACCCCTAAGAAATCTCTAGTTAGGCCCTGCTCACCTTCATGCTGAACCTTTGTCTGATCTCCTGAATAAAAGTGAACATTTTGGGACCTTTTATCGGTCGATGTCGGAATAATCAGGCCCTGAAATTCATTGCCCGAATCAGGCAAAGAACCCAAATTCACTCCATTGAAGAGCCCATTTCCGGAAGGCGTTGACAGAGAATTCATCAGATCGTTGAAGTTTTCCGGCTCCTTTTCATGGAAACCAAATAACTGAAACTCATTTACCGTTTGAACATCACACGAACTCACTCCTAAGCCTCTAAGCATAGAAGGGTTACTTGTTGTTGCACCAATTTGGGCTGCTTTTTGCAAAAGGGCGGTGGCCGACATGTGAGCTCCATGAGAGCTGTGATTTTGTGGGGTGCTATAGAGAGAAGCCAATCCCCCTAAATGGGTTTTCCCCCCATTATCATCCTTCAAGCTCGAAGAGGTTGATAGAGACAGACTGGCCCCAGTGTTCGAGCCTCTGTCTAACCAATCTGATGGGAACCCCATGAAATCCAAAGGAGATGAGCTCCCAAACATGTTTCCTGGTACCATATGGAGTAGCTCAGGTGGACATGCCTTGTTCTCTGCTTGTGAAGAAGGGCAAAACTCCGACGAGTTTGAAGAATTTGGGATTGATTTCGTCACCTCAGAGAAAAAAGTTTGTGGATTTGATGCCCCTTCGATTGAGTTTAGATGACTTCTCATTAGATCTATCGAGTTTGGTCCAGAGCCCTGATCAAGCCATAATGAAAGCCTCGGCTTTGGATGGCCCGTGGGTTCCGAATTTGGAGCAAAATTAGGCCTAAAGGCTCCAAACCCATGAGGCATGGACGAAGTTGATGGGGAAGAAGAGAGATGTGAAGTATTCATGGCGTTATTGTTACAGTCGTTTCTAAAGGTGAGGCCAGTGGTGGCAGCTGATGCAGCGACAGAGGAAAGCCTTGCACTCTCTTCTGCCAAGGCATCACAGAAGGCTCTATGAGTGATAAAGCTGTCTTTCCTGTATACCAAAAAGAAGTTAACTGTTCAGTACACAAGGATTTTCTCTTTCTCTGTGCATTTAATTTGAGTATTCAATTATTTGCTTCATTAAATTTCATTCTCAATCAAATAATTTTATTCTTAATCAATGATCTTAGGTTTCCGGACACGCACGAAGACTTCAACATTAATCATGTGCAACTAAAAATTCCAATCTCTCTGAAACGCACAGTCCCTTCTCCCTCTTGATAATCCTAGAGAGAGAATTACCATAAAAATTCTTGATAGTTTTAGAGAAAGAAGCAGAAAAGAAAAATCTGTAAATACCTGGAGAAGAGAGTTCCACAGTCGCATTTGTACTCTCTAGTGCCACAAGTTTTCGAATGAGCTTTCCAATCCGATTGAACCGCATATCTCTTTGAGCACTTCTCGCACTTCCATTTCTTCTCCCCGTGCTTTCTACTGAAATGTTTCTTAATTCCTGTAAGATCACCGAGAGCCCTTGAGGGATCGTTATGGACGCAAGTTTTTTCAGGGCAGATGTAAACTCTTTTCCTGATTTCTTTGCTAGTTCTCTGTCTAAGCTTCCATGGAAGATTGTGGCCTCTTCTATGGAGCTGCAAATTCTGGTCCCTTTGGAAACCCTTGTTACAGATCTCACAAACGAATCGGTTTGTGGCCATGAGAGTTCTCGGCGATAAAGCGATAACTTCTGCATCAGGATCTGTGATAAAAAGAAAAAAAGAAAAGAAACCCATTAACAAGAGAATATTGAGAGAAAAAGAGAGAGAGGGAGAGAGAGGTAGAGAGATGCCTGGGTTTCCCGGAAGATTTCGCTTCTTCTTCTTCGGTGGCGGAGGCTGCTCATGCTCCAAATTAGGGTTAGGGTTTTCGGCAAACCCTCTGAGAGAAGATGGCAAATGGGTTCCATCCCCTGCCATTTTTCTTGATCGGTCAAGAACCTCTAAGCAAGATCGTCGGGCCTAAATCTAGAGAGTGTAAGAGAGTTAAGAGTCTTTACAAAAAAAAAGGAACTTTAACCAGAGAGGTTTTCTCCTACCGTACTAGAAAGAGGTACAGCTTCTATATATCAATAAAGAGAGAGAGAGGACTGAAAAACTCGGTAAATCAATGAAGAGAGACAAAATTCCTGAATCTAGAGAGAGAGAGTTCCTTTTTGAATCTATAGCATCTGTTTGTGCAGGATTAATCTTGCATCTAAAGATGGATCCTAAGGAAATCTTCTCCACCAAGAATTGAAGGAGAGGAAAGAGAAAGGGGAGTAAAAAAGCGGAAATTTAAGCACTTCTCAGTTCCTTGGAAAAGACATGGTTTTCGAGCATGGTCTTGGCCTTTTCGGATCTCACCAACAAAACCCAGCTACCATTGAAGCCCAAGATCAGTATATGCTTCCTTTCCTTTCTCTCACTTCCTTATCTCTCACGCTGCTTCTCAATGTCGGTCAGCCATAGACTTAAACTGGGCCACCTCTCTCTCTCTTCTCTCTCTCTCTCTCTAACACTATATAATCTGGGCCACCTCTTTCTCTCTCTAAAACAAATCAATTCATAGATAATTTGGGCCACTCCACTCTCTCACTCTCTCTCTAACCTAAACACCTCCCTCTCTCTAAAACAAAACAATTCATAGATAATTTGGGCCACCCCACTCTCTCTCTAGCCCAAAAACAAAATCTAGGCCACCCTCTTTCTCTCTCTAATCCAAAACCATAAAAACATAAACTTGGCCCTCTCTCTCTCTACAAGACCGGACACAATCTCTCTCTCTTATCTCTGTCTGCCCTTAAGCCATGATGTAAACCTGGACCACCACTCTTTCTCTCTCCTCACATTCTCTCTCCACACTTTCTCTCTCTACTCTTTCTGAGGAAAACCATTAGCAGCATGGATGGGTGGAAGGGAATAATGAGACACTGTTTAATTTTCGTATGCGTGTCTGCTAGCGGGTTTTTTGTTTCTTTTCTCTTTTTAGGGAGTCAGCTTTTTTACACGGTGCCCCTTCGCCTTACTTTAAGTGTTCGATTTTATTAGTGTTAAAAGTAAAAGGTCAAGTGAGGTAATATGTGAATGATGACACCCATGATGAGGTCCTAAAAAAGTTAAGTCTTCCTCCTTTCCCCTCTGAAATCATTAAACCATAATTGTAGTTCCTGCAACCTCTCTCTCTCTCTAATTCTCTCTTTCTTTCTCTACCATTATCGAAATCTTCAACGTCGTTGATCTCTGGATAAGGTCCTTCTCACTTTCTCTCTCTACGCTAATTTAGAAATGGCTTCTCTCTCTAGGTTGTTGATTTAGAAAGGTCTGATGTCCATGTTTCTCAATCTCTGTAGGGCTTATTTAGATATGACATCTCTCTTTGTTTTCTTCTCTCTTCTCTCTCTGTGTCCATGGATTCATACCCTCTCTCTCTCTCTCCCTCTCCTCTCTGTGATCCATATCTGAAACTTGAAGCTTTTAACCATTAAACTCTTATTGTTTTATCCGTTTTAGGGACAGTAATCCATGCTGGCAAATTAAGAAAAAACTGTTGTGACTCTCTCTCTCTCTAGATATTGCATCCTCTGTCCTCTCTAAGATATGAATACGAGTTTAAGAATGTAAACCCATCTGTCACTTTCTCTCTCTAAATATATAAATAAGTTTAAAGCCATAGTCGTCACGGTTTTGGCTGCAATACCGATGGTCTGTGATGCTCTGACTCATGGCTGCAACCCTGCAACAGTCCAAAAATAAGACAACACCGATAATGTCACTCACTGATGCTTGGTTGGTTGGTTGGTACCTCTCTCTCTCTCTTTCACATGAGGTAAAGTAAAGGAATATTATCAGATTTCAGGAAATCGATCAAAATACACCTTAGGTTTTCTGTGAAATCCACGAATTTTAAGCATGTGAAAACGATCCATCACACTCACACAAATAGTGGGGCTAGAGAGAGAAAGAGAGAGAGGGAATAGTGATTATGTAAAAAATCAAGTAATTGTTATAGATGTGGAAACTTAGTTTAAAAAAAACATAAAAAGGATTGATGGAGCTTTTGGGTTGTGAGAATCTCAGCTGAATATCTCTCATACAAAAAAAACTTAGAAAAAAGAACTATATTTGGCCAAGCTTATTTGCTGGCCTAATCTTACGGAAAAAGACGTTCAAGGTCTTGTTGCTTGCCACAACGTTTGTTGAAATTGACCCCCTTTTACCTTGTCTTGTTCACTTTAGTAAGCAGTAAAAGTGGCGATTTGTTCCATTTCGATCTAGAGAGAGAATAAGAGAGAGATAATGTATTGTGTTTTTGTAGAGAGAGAGAGCAAAAGATCCAATGAATTCATATACATTTTTCAAGCTCATAACTGTAATTTTCCATTATATTTCATGTTAATTATCAAGAATTATACTACACGTTTATATAATAACATCCTAGTAATTAGATTAAAATGGAAATATTATTTCATTCTCTATGATCTTTGTACTGGAAAAATAATAATAAAAGGGTGGTGAAAAGGTTCTTTAGTGGGTGGTGCCAATATCATAATAAAAGTTACTGATATACTTAGACCAGCTATGAAAAGATTAATTATAAGGGTCCTTTCTGAAAGGGGAAATAGTGTTCAAATGGCGTTTACTAACTTTGCACCTAAATCTATAATTTCACAATCAGAGAAGGAAACCAAGAGACAAGCATACAAAAAAAAAAAAACTAGAGAGACTCTCTCTCTCTCTCTGGGTTGGTCTCCTAGAAGAGCAGCCAAGAGCAGGGTAGGGACCATGGAAGAGCGTAGGCATTGAGGAGGAGGAAGTGAATTTTTTGAGAGTTGGGCATGGAGAGGCGTCTGCTTGTGGGCTGACTTTGTGCTCTACCCACAAACTCCTCTGTCTCTCTCCTTTTCAATTTTAATGGTGGGCACCCTTCTATCTCTCTACATTCCCCATCTCTGTTTTACTTCAGACTTCTCTACCCTCTCTCTTCTCTCTCTACCTAACCATGTGTCTTGCTTAGGGGTCGCAATGGGCCGGGCCAACTCCTCTCTCCCTCCTTTTTAATTTTTTTGGTGGACACCCTTCTCTCTCTCTCTACATTTTTTACTTCAAACTTCTCTATCCACCCTCTCTCTTCTCTCTATCCTTGTCACTCTCTACCCAACTCATGTATCTAGCTTAGGGGTGGCAATGGACTGATGGCCTTGCCTGGCCCTAAAAATTTCGGGCTTGGGGCACAAAATGTGGCATGAGTCGGGCCAAGATAGGCCCGGCCCTTAATTTTTCAGTTTCTTGCTTTTTTTTTCTTTATGACCCATTTGGTTTGGAGTTCACGTGAACAATTCTTTCATGCGGTTAAATATGGGAGTATATTTACAAAGTAGATGTCAATTGATGTGAAAAGATCAGTTACCTGCATGATACCTGCATGAGAGAATTTTTCATGTGAAAATATTGTTTAGAAAACATACCATAAGTTTATTTGACTCGGTCCTTAGAGAAATAGAAGCTCTCTAGTGTCAGGGTTGGCCTGGCTCAAGCCCAGCCCATGACCGGCCCTTTTTGCTCTACCCCTCTCTCTCTCTAACTCTCATATGCTCAACTCTCTCTCTCTAGTCCCCACTTCTCTCCTTATTCTCTACAAGATCAAGCCCTGACATCCCCGAAAGCCCCATCTCCAAGAAAAATTTTCTTATACCTTTGCCCCTTTCTTTATTCACAAAGTTTTGGCTCATGCATTCGGAGCTTCCTTAGTAACTAGTGATGCTCTCTCGAATTCCCATCCCCATGAAATAAACAATTGAAAACGAGTAAAGAAAAACCCTAATTCCCATAGACTTGATCCGACCAGATACGACATCCAACCCACCACATACAACACAGCATAGATTCCTTTTTCATCCAACAAATTATTCATGTACACTGTGCCTTCACCGTTTTTCTTTAGTTTAGACCTTTGAAAAAGGCTCATTTAGACTTATGGAAAAGCCATATGAGGTGCTTGAAAAGATGGTCAATAGGGAAAATGCTTGCTCCTTTAAATAAGTGGGGGGGTCTTTCTTTTTTTCTTTAGGTCTTCTTGTTTGAATTCTAACCTACATGCTTGAGGACCTATGTGTAACATTCGTCTTTGGCTTAATCCATGTTTTTTTTTTAGGGGGGGGGGGGTTGGGCACTTGTTTCATTACTGGGTTTGCACGTTTGCCCATGGAAAAACAAATTCTCCTTTGGTGAGCCCACATGGGTTGCTTTCAAAAAAGAGGATTATAACCACTTGGGGGGTTTAGTCCACACCCCACGTGGGTCCTCATGTCGACAGTGCGACTAGCCCCCTCTCTCTATCTCTCCCTCTCACTCTCACTTTCACTCTCACTCTCTCTCTCTCAAACACACGCAGATGAATGTAATTGAGATATAGAAATGGCTACTATATCTAACCCTTGCTCTCTCTCACACGCACATGAATGTAATTGAGATAGAGAAATGGCTAGTATCTCTAACCCATGCTCTCTCTCACACACGCATACAAAGATGGACGTATAGTTCATATACTCACCCCATGATCTCTCACACATGAGAGAGATGGAACTATTGTTAGTATGGCCACCCCATTTTATCTCTCTTACACACATACATATATAAAAACAGTGTCACACACACAAAGGAGAGAGCATCACTTTTATCTTCTCTCTCTCGATCTCTCCTTCAAGTGGAAGTCCATGTTTCTACATCAGGTTTGGTTAATTTACCAAAAGAAAATTAGTTTATCTTCTTATGAAAAAATATAGAATGAGACCATTGGATTTGACATTGGGTGGTTGCAATTATTCCATTGACCAAGCTCAAACTTTAAAAGAAAATTTTTCGAATTTTGTGACACATCCAAGCTATTAAACTTCACATCAAATGGTTGTAAAGAATTGTGACAAGTTTGTATAAAAAATAAATAGCCTCATTGTATAAAATCCAGTATACCAATTGGTACAATTCGATGGGGATTGATCGGGTCTATCTGTGATCTCTAGTAAAATTAAATGAATACTTGTCGACTGTAGACACTTACATCAATGGACCAGCTATATGTACTTTTTAAAATTTTATAAAGAATATTATTAGCAACTACTGGAAAGTGACTCTTGAACTTAGTGGTTCCGAACTCACATCGGTCATTTTCCGAACTCATCGGTCATTTTGGGAGGCTTTTGGTGTTTCAACCGCGTAGTTGAAATGGCGACCCTTCAAAATTACCGCAATTACCTCACATACATTATGGCATTTAGGATTTCCTCCTGGTAAAATGACGAGAAAATTACGACATTATTTCTGACATTTTGTTACAAAATATGCTTCTTTTTTGAATTTTTATTTTTAAGAATTTTTATACATTGATACAGTGTGCTCCCATGGAGCTTACTGTGCATCTACTTCCTCAATCAAAACACGTAGCTCCATTATTATTATTTTGTGAACCAAGTAGCAATTACTAGTTGATTATTTTTTAAAGAAAAAATTAAAATATGAGTGTAGAAGCAATTAGATCTAGCCATGTAAAAATTAGACAGTCTCTATTCATTATTGAGGCATTATTTTTTTTTGTAGCACATAGAGATTTTATTTCTGACATTATTTTCTTGAGATTATTCTATAAGTTGTAGAGTTATATCCTTAAAATTAGTGATCTAAAAGGTATCCTTGGCATGTATTTTTGCCGAAAGAGTAAATAGATAGTGTACTCCCCTAGTAAATGGTAGTAAAAAAACATTTGTAT